GCTGCTCATCTCCTCTCCTCGCAGATTCGCATAAAGTGGTTTTTTTCGCGATTGTACAGATTCGCGCTGTAGTCGCCGCTCCGATTATGGCACGCGCTATCCTCGTTACAAGGATACACGATGACGGAACGGAAGTCTATGCGGACTCGTTTCAAGAGCGCGACGCGGAAGCGGCTTACGCGGCGATGGCAGCGAGAAAGGGCTCTCGCTGCTGGTCGTCGGACGATCCCGCCTGACTTGACGCTGCCAGAGAACGAATTCTTAAGATCCGGAACATCAACGCGCGACGCGCGACGCGCGATTCTCACTGCTTTTACGAGAGCATTGTCCTCATCACTTCCCCTGCCGTCTTTTCCCCCTCCCCCCTTGCCCTCCCCAACCCCTGGTGCTTTTTCACACCCCGCACTTTCTCTCCCTTCCCCGGCGTGTCTAACTCCCTTGCTCAGAATTCAACACCACAGTTTTCGTTTCTCTTATCGCGGATGCGCGTAACGCTTCTCGCTTCACGCGTAACGCTTCGGCGCGTTCACCTCCTTGCCGCCTGTCACGCGCCACTGCCTCACGCGCGGAGAAGGGGAATGCGACGGTGCTGTGGCCACCCGAGGTGATGGTGTGATGGAGGGGTGATTATCACCCGCCATGCATCGTGCTGTGGCTGCCCGTGGTGATTATCAGGAACACCCGCCTGCGACCCGATGAGGATGGACGGGTGGGTTGTGGTCTGTTAGTGTGATGGTGTGATGGACGGGTGGTTGAGGGCTGGTGGGTGGGTGATGATGGGGTGGATGGGTGCATGCATGTACGGTGCTGTGCTGCCCGTGGTGATCATAAGTAACACCCGCTTTCGACCCGATGAAGATGGCCGGGTACGTGTTGGGTACGTGTTGGTGTGATGGCCAGGCGAATGGTGATGGACAGGAGGAATAGGACCTCACACTGAGTTGCTGAGGGTTAGACCAACTCCCTACATGTGGTAGTGCATCAATCACTATTTGCCTCCACACTTGCTTATCCTCTGCCCTTCCTCTGCAGTCATTTTCCATCTTTGTTGTGCCACTTCTCCCACTTTTCCCTCCTCTCCCTCCCCTCCCCTCCACACCCCCTTCCCTTTTCCCGCCCTCCCTTTCTCCGTCGCGCCGGTGCATCTCGTGCTCCTGAGGCGGTGGATAGGAATGGGAAGCTATGAGCTGCGGCAGCACTTCTCGTATTACAAGCTCGCCGTGAAGACCAACCATGCCTATGGTCCGCAGGTGGTTGCTCCCTCTACACACGCGCACCTGCACACACGCACTTACACGCACACACCTCCACACGCGCACCTCTACTCATGCACAATGGCACATAGTTCTCGGCCCTCGTCCACCTCATTCAGCCCAATATTGTCCCGATTGCTGCATGCTCCGTGCCCTCCTGCTGCCTTCCCCCACCCATCACATCAGGTCAGAGGCATCGCGGCATTCTGGTCACTCCAGACGCATCTGCACACACGCACTTACACGCACACACCTCCACACACACACACATGAGCATTCTGGTCACTCCAGACGCATCTGCGCACACGCACTTACACGGACACACCTCCACACACACACATGAGCATTCTGGTCACTCCAGACGCATCTGCACACACGCACTTACACGCACACACCTCCACACACACACACACATGAGCATTTTGGTCACTCCAGACGCATCTGCACACACGCACTTGCACGCACATACCTCCACACACACACACATGAGCATTCTGGTCACTCCAGACGCATCTTCACACACGCACTTACACGCACACACCTCCACACACACACACATGAGCATTCTGGTCACTCCAGATGCATCTGCACACACGCACTTACACGAACACACCTCCACACACACACACATGAGCATTCTGGTCACTCCAGACGCATCTGCACACACGCACTTACACGCACACACCTCCACACACACGCATGAGCATTCTGGTCACTCCAGACGCATCTGCACACACGCACTTACACGCACACACCTCCACACACACACACACATGAGCATTCTGGTCATGCACTGCGTGCTCTGAGGCATTCTGGTCACTCCAGACAGCTTCAAGGAGGCGTGGGCGGTTGGAGCTGACCCACCCGTCTTATGCTTGACTTACCTCCCTCTCTTCCTCCTCTCGTCTTACTGCCTGCCTTCCCCCATCCCATCACGGCCATCGCCTTCCACCCTCACTGGCAGACTTGCCGGCAGGCTCACTGGTGCGTGCGTGCTGTGCTTTCTCTTGCTGGTAATGTGCCTCTGTTGGCGTGTGGCATGCACTGCGTGCTCTGAGGCATGCTGACTGGCTGGCAGATTTGCATGCATGCACTGAATGACATGGGGTGTTGATGGTGTTCCGCTCGCGCACGCATCGCACCACCAGCATTCCTGGTGTATTGGTTGCACCAACCAATAGATTTGTGGCACTTTATGCTCGTTCAATACTCTCTCTCGCCATCTCAGGGGAGTGTACGAGTGGTGCTGCCAGACCTCTACACGGATGCACACATGATGGTGCATGGAGTGAGAGGAGTCATAGTGCCTGGCATTTTATAGTACCTCCAATAATGGGGGACTTCAAAGCAATATTAGCCATATTAAAGATATCCCCCATACTAGCTACCCTTTAGTTAGTGTTTTTGTTTACGCGAGGTGAATTATCTCAAATGTTTTGATAGAATGACGCAGATGTGTGTCTAGTGGGGAGGATAGTAATAGGTATTTATTAGCGAATTACGTTCTACCTCTATAACCAACCATAAACTCTTTACAGTAAAATCAAGACGCGGATGAAAGCTGCATCATTTCTGAATGAATGATGATGGGCTTGACAAGCGACTCAATTTGAATTCGTCGTCTGACACCATGTTATAGCGGCTCGGCATGACATACACTCATCCATAGCGTCTCGAGGCAGAGATCTGATTGGTGGTAACTTACCATACCATCCATAACACACCTTAAAAAGCTGTGATCAGCCGTCAGATCATCCGCATCCACGGTGAATCAGGTCTCGCTCACTCATCAGATTTTCGCACAGGCCGTCTTTTCCCCCACTGACTCACACCACTTTCCGCCTTTCCCCGCCTTCAGCTCAGATCGTCGGCAGGCTTATCCGCGGATTCCTGCCAGTCAGCGCAACTCACTAGCGAACTTTGCAACCGCTTGCGCCTCGAGCTTGCCGAAACGGGGGGAACTCCCCCAAACCCCTTTTCGCCTTGTGTGGACGGGAGGGCTCTTCGCGAGGCGACTCGACTTGCGGCTCTTGCCGTTCAGCTTTATCCCTTACGCCTTTCTCTTACCATCACCCCACCTCACCTTGCCTCACCTCATCTCACCTTTCTGTAATAAGTCTCATCTCTCTTTAACCTTTGTCACCTTGCCGACAATCTCTTCACCGTACTGGACCTTGCTTTTCCTTCTCGTCCCAGATCTCGTTGCTCAGCCCACATCCACTACCTCTCAGACACTCCAAGCAGAGGTTGTCTCAGAGCACGTTCCGTGAGTTAGGTAACTCGATTGACGGGAATCCATGGCTTCCTGGACTAGCTATACCGTGGAGGAAATTTCGTGCGTGGACTCTACCGATGCGCGTACATCCTAAGGTTAACCATTAGGATAGTAGTATAAGTTCTGGAGCCTAGTAAGATAGCTTAGTCTCACCATGAGTTGCAACTGGATGACCGTCAGGTGCAGGATGGCAAATTCCTATTATTGTCGCGTCAAGCGTGATTCTATTTGCTCGTTACGCCAGATCCAAGTTGTAAAGAGATTCTCATCTCCGTATTACAACAGATTATTCGATCCTTCTTCGCGATCTCTCGAGTCGCGAGATCCAAGTTCTTCTGATATTCTCAAGCTAGCGAATCGCGACGAAAGCTGTTACCTTTGTGAAGCCGCGACAAACTTTAACAACGTGAAGCGACGTCAGATATTGTGCGGAGACTAGACGCGGCATGACGCGACAAACGTTCCTGATGGTCACGAATCCTTGCCATGACGCCTTGTGCGACTTTACAGCTTGCTCTACGGGAGAGCTTCCCGCAGCCTCACGATTAAGTTGTCACTGCCGAGAAGACCGCTTCGCTTCGCTTCGAGATTCCTGAAACCGCTTCGCTTCGCTTCGAGATTCCTGAAACCGCTTCGCTTCGCTTCGAGATTCCTGAAACCGCTTCGCGACGAAAAGCTCCTGAAACCGTCGACGGTATTACTCGCAGCCTGCTACGCGAAGCTAACGAATGCACCCGACGCTGACGAAGGAGCGCGGAGCGTTGCGGCGGAGAGGATCTGACGGGCGACGCTGACGGAGACATGACGCCGACGAATACGTGACGCTGACGAAGACATTACGCTGACGAAGACATGACGCGACGAAGGATGTCGGAGAACAAGTGACGGAATTGAAAGTGATCACGCGACTTCGGAAGCAGCGCGAAGTGTCCGATGGGCGCGGTGGTGCGGAGCGTTCGATGACGGAGGAGCAGCTTGCGACGCGAGCTCGCGACGGCCGTACGAAGCTCGCGTCATCCGTACGAAGCTCGCGTCATCCGTACGAAGCTCGCGACATCCGTACGAAGCTCGTGACATCTGTACGAAGCTCGCGACATCCGTACGAAGCTCGCGACGGCCGTACGAAGCTCGCGACATCCGTACGAAGCTCGCGACATCTGTACGAAGCTCGCGACCTCCGTACGAAGCTCGCGACATCCGTACGAAGTCGCGAATGTCCCTGCTCACGACGTTCCTACGCAACATGTGACCCGCAACATGTCCCTGCTCACGACCCGCTACTACTACGGAGACGAGCTGTGGTGAGTTTTATTGAAACTCTCGTTTCATGACGGTTTTTTTTTGCTCGTATCATTCAATTTCTATAACAGTTGCTATTATTCTCTCGGTGATCGTGTTTAGTTTCCATTCAAACTGCTCATTTCTGTTTCCGCAAATTTCGGTTTCTGCACATTCATTCACGATGGCGTATCTCACTCGCTGCGCATTAAACTGTCCGTGCAGGACTGGTGGCGATATGAGCTTGTCTCATGGCGTTGGTCCATGGCGGCATGGCATTGGTCCATGGCGTCATGGCGTTGGTCCATGGCGTCATGGCATTGGTCCATGGCGTCATGGCAGTCCATGGCGTCATGGCATTGGTCCATCAGCAGCAGCGACTGGAGCAGCAGCGACTGGAGCATCAGCAGTCCATGGCAGTCCATGGCGCTATGGCAGTCCATGGCGCTATGGCAGTCCATGGCGCTATGGCAGTCCATGGCGTCATGGCAGTCCATGGCGTCATGGCAGTCCATGGCGTCATGGCAGTCCATGGCGTCATGGCAGTCCATGGCGTCATGGCAGTCCATGGCGTCATGGCAGTCCATGGCGTCATGGCAGTCCATGGCGTCATGGCAGTCCATGGCGTCATGGCAGTCCATGGCGTCATGGCAGTCCATGGCGTCATGGCAGTCCATGGCGTCATGGCAGTCCATGGCGTCATGGCAGTCCATGGCGTCATGGCAGTCCATGGCGTCATGGCAGTCCATGGCGTCATGGCAGTCCATGGCGTCATGGCAGTCCATGGCGTCATGGCAGTCCATGGCGTCATGGCAGTCCATGGCGTCATGGCAGTCCATGGCGTCATGGCAGTCCATGGCGTCATGGCAGTCCATGGCGTCATGGCAGTCCATGGCGTCATGGCGTTGGTCCATCAGCAGCAGCGACTGGAGCATCAGCAGCAACAGGAGCGGCCACGACTGGAGCAGCAAGTAAGTTGAGCCCTGACAGAACACCCCCGTTCCTTCCTCCTGATTCGCATCACCTCGTTTTTGAAGGTTGCCATTTCCTGTTGTCTTGGCCGTTTTGCTTAGCATGTTGTTTCTCTTGATCATTTCGCAGCTGTGCCTGTACGCTCTACCCAGCTGACCTTCTCTATAGTAGGGGTTGCAACTCTCTGTGCCTTGTGCAGGGGTGACAAGGGGTGGCTGGGGCAGCTGAGGCCGCGGATGGCGAGGTGGGGTAGTGCTGCTGCGTTGGAGGCAACTGGTGCAGGAGCAACTGGAGAAACCTCAACTGGAGAAACAAGTAAGTAACCTCAACCTCAACTGCTCCTTTCTTTGTCTTTATGGCTTGCGTGTTCGTTGTCGTTTTTCCACTCTCGTTTTTTCTCCTTGCATTCTTTATTCTTCTCTCTGTTAATTCATGCTCTACTCATAAACTCTACTTGTGGGATTGCAACTCTCTGGTCGCTGTGCAGGGAACGTAAACACATGGGTGGGAAGATGGAGCAACAGCGACAGGAGCAGCACCTGCAGCTGCAGCGACTGGACAACAAGTAAGCAACAGAAGCCGTGACGTTTGTTCGCTGTCGACTTTGTGGCCTTCTTTGTGGGATTGCAACTTGCTTTCTCTGCATTCGTTGTTGTTCCCTCTCTGTCAAATCTCTCTGCCAACTTGTAACCTCTACGCTGCAACTAACCATCTCTGTGGGATTGCAACTCTCTGTTCGCTGTGCAGGGAACGTTGCGGCTGGGCAGATGGAGCAACATGGGCAGTGGTAGCAGCGACAGCAGGAGGAGAAAGGCAGTGGCAGAAGCAGCGGCAAATGCAACAGCTTCAGTCGCAGCAGCAATGGCAAAGGCAGGAGCGCCAGTGGCAGCGGCAGCGTTGCTATGCTGCTAATGGCAGCGGCAGCGTCTTCTTGAATAAGGGGCAACCTCCCATCTCCTCTACGCTTTCCTGGCGCTGCTGCTGGTTTATGGAGGAGTGAAAGCCTAGTAGTTAGGAAGATGGGGCAGGAGCGACTGGATAGCACCTGCTGCGTTGTGGGCAGCTGGAGCAGCAGCGACTGGATAAGCTAGTAAGTAATTGGCCCCATGACAGAACACCCCCGTGTCCTTCTATTCCCCCCTCTCCCTTCTCTCTCCTCAGTCGAGTTTTCTTCTGCCTTAGTAGTTTCAATTGCTTTCGTCGCTTTTCCGCTGTCCTTTTTCCTCCTTGCATTCGATATTCTTCACTCTGTCAATCTGCTCTGTCGACTCACTGACTGATCTTCCTTGTGCGATTGCGACTCTCTGGCACTGTGCAGGGCGTTAGTCTGGGGTGGGAGGAGCAGCAGCAACAGGAGCAGCATTGACAGCGGCAGCAGTGGCAGCAGGAGGAGAGCGGCAGTGGCGGAAGCAGTAGTGTGAGCGGCAGCGGCAGGGGCAGAAGAAGTGGCAACACGAGAAGAATGCCCTACACTTTCTGGCGCTGCTGCTGGGTGTTGGGAGGCCAATCAATGCCAGTCAAAGCCAGTCAACGCCAGACAAAGTCAGTTAACGCCAGTCAATCTTGTGAGCTGCAGCAGTGGAGCAGGGGAGCTGAGGAGACGGCTGGAAGGGATCCCAAGAGGAAGGAGACGGCTGGAATGCCCTGAGCTGCAGCAGGGAAGGCACGGAGGGGACACAAAATGGACACCAGCAGCCTGCGTGCTGCTGCTGGTGCTGATGTGGAGTGATGGCACAACAACAAGCAGCTCTGATGCTGTGTTGGCTAGCAGAGATACCAGCGGTGGCAGCGGCAGTGGGAGCAGGAGAGAGGCCCGCAGTGACATTACCTGGTGGCAGCAGCAGTGGCGACAGAAGGGATGCAAGTAGTGACCAGCGGTGGCAGCGGCAGTGGGAGCAGGAGAGGGGCCCGCAATTCTGGGAGCAGGAGAGAGGCCCGCATGACATTACCCGGTGGCAGTAGCAGTGGCGACAGAAGGGGATGCGAGTAGTGACACCAGCGGTGGCAACGACAGTGGGAGCAGGAGAGAGGCCCGCTATGACAGTACAGCTGGCAGCAGCAGTGGCTGGCAGCAGAAGAGAAGACCAGCAGTGACACATGCGGTGGCAGCAGCGGTGGGAGAAGGAGAGAGGTCCGCAATGACACTACAGCTGACAGCAGCAGTGGCTGGCAGCAGAAGAGAAGACCAGCAGTGACACATGCGGTGGCAGCAGCGGTGGGAGAAGGAGAGAGGCCCGCTATGACAGTACAGCTGGCAGCAGCAGTGGCTGGCACCAGAAGGGAAGACCAGCAGTGACACCAGCGGTGGCCGGTGGGAGAAGGAGAGAGGTCCTCAATGACACTACAGCTGACAGCAGCAGTGGCTGGCAGCAGAAGAGAAGACCAGCAGTGACACATGCGGTGGCAGCAGCGGTGGGAGAAGGAGAGAGGTCCGCAATGACACTACAGCTGACAGCAGCAGTGGCTGGCAGCAGAAGAGAAGACCAGCAGTGACACATGCGGTGGCAGCAGCGGTGGGAGAAGGAGAGAGGTCCGCAATGACACTACAGCTGACAGCAGCAGTGGCTGGCAGCAGAAGAGAAGACCAGCAGTGACACATGCGGTGGCAGCAGCGGTGGGAGAAGGAGAGAGGTCCGCAATGACACTACAGCTGACAGCAGCAGTGGCTGGCAGCAGAAGATAAGACAAGCAGTGACACATGCGGTGGCAGCAGCGGTGGGAGAAGGAGAGAGGTCCGCAATGACACTACAGCTGACAGCAGCAGTGGCTGGCAGCAGAAGAGAAGACCAGCAGTGACACATGCGGTGGCAGCAGCGGTGGGAGAAGGAGAGAGGTCCGCAATGACACTACAGCTGACAGCAGCAGTGGCTGGCAGCAGAAGAGAAGACCAGCAGTGTGAGCAGATGCTAGCAGGGATGGCTAGCGGTGGGAGCAGATGCTAGCAGGGAAGGCTAGCAGTGGGAGCAGACGAGAAGAGAAGACCAGCAGTGGAAGCAGACAGGAAGAGAGGACCAGCAGTGGGAGCAGATGCTAGCAGGGAAGGCTAGCAGTGGGAGCAGATGCTAGCAGGGATGGCTAGCAGTGGGAGCAGACGAGAAGAGAAGACCAGCAGTGGAAGCAGACGAGAAGAGAGGACCAGCAGTGGGAGGAGATGCTAGCAGGGATGGCTAGCAGTGGGAGCAGATGCTAGCAGGGAAGGCTAGCAGTGGGAGCAGATTCTCAAAACTCTTCAAATGGTGAGTTTTGAGAGACGTCTCAAAACTCACGCCCCCTCGTTCCTGACTGCAGATTTGCTGCAGTGAGCAAAACGCGGGTTTTGAGAGCAAAACGCCTCAAAACTCACACTTGTTCTGGCTGAGGTTGTTGTTCTTGCTTTCTCCTGGTGGGCACTTCAAGTGAGGCGCTTTGACCCCCTGGGGGGCAAAGGATCAACATGAGGAGCAGCGGGAGGTGGAGCGGCGCCTTCAAGTGAGGCGCTTTGACCCCCTGGGGGGCAAAGGATCAACACATGAGGAGCAGCGAGAGGTGGAGCGGCGCCTTCAAGTGAGGCGCTTTGACCCCCTGGGGGGCAAAGGATCAACACAAGAGGAGCAGCGAGAGGTGGAGCGGCGCCTTCAAGTGAGGCGCTTTGACCCCCTGGGGGGCAAAGGATCAACACACGAGGAGCAGCGAGAGGTGGAGCGGCGCCTTCAAGTGAGGCGCTTTGACCCCCTGGGGGGCAAAGGATCAACACAAGAGGAGCAGCGAGAGGTGGAGCGGCGCCTTCAAGTGAGGCGCTTTGACCCCCTGGGGGGCAAAGGATCAACACACGAGGAGCAGCGAGAGGTGGAGCGGCGCCTTCAAGTGAGGCGCTTTGACCCCCTGGGGGGCAAAGGATCAACACACGAGGAGCAGCGAGAGGTGGAGCGGCGCCTTCAAGTGAGGCGCTTTGACCCCCTGGGGGGCAAAGGATCAACACACGAGGAGCAGCGAGAGGTGGAGCGGCGCCTTCAAGTGAGGCGCTTTGACCCCCTGGGGGGCAAAGGATCAACACATGAGGAGCAGCGAGAGGTGGAGCGGCGCCTTCAAGGAGGAAGATAATTTTTGTGTTTTCCCTCTCCTAGGTGCAGCAAGAACCGGGGCAACACTTAGGGCGAAGCAACAGCTGGTGGGGCAGCAGCTGGAAGGAGCAACTTCAACTGAGGTGCCTACTTTGCCCCGCTGGGGGGCAAAGGATAACTTTTGTGCCACCCCTCTTCTAGGTACAGCACGGACGGGGGGCAACACCGCGGGCGGAGCAACACGGGGATGCTGCAGCTAGGACCCGCTGTAAGCTGCAGTCTGCTTTTTGTTTCTTGGTTTGTCTAACTCGTAATGTTGTATTTTGTGTGTGTTCGTGTCTTAGCCGTCACCAAGACATCAAGAGCGCTTCTGCCCCCTCGGTAAGCTATCTTTCATTTCTGCGTTTTTGTTTTCAACATGCACTAATCTCGTGGTTTGTTGCCTCCCTCCCCTTTCAGACAGCCCCAAGACTTCAACACGCCTTCATTCCCCTCGGTACGTGCTCGTCCATTTCTGCTTTCCTGTTTTCCACATGCACTAATGTCGTGGTTTGTTGCCTCCCTCCCCTTTCAGACAGCCCCAAGACTTCAACACGCCTTCATTCCCCTCGGTACGTGCTCGTCCATTTCTGCTTTCCTGTTTTCCACATGCACTAATGTCGTGGTTTGTTGCCTCCCTCCCCTTTCAGACAGCCCCAAGACTTCAACACGCCTTCATTCCCCTCGGTACGTGCTCGTCCATTTCTGCTTTCCTGTTTTCCACATGCACTAATGTCGTGGTTTGTTGCCTCCCTCCCCTTTCAGACAGCCCCAAGACTTCAACACGCCTTCATTCCCCTCGGTACGTGCTCGTCCATTTCTGCTTTCCTGTTTTCCACATG